AGCTAAATTATGCTTTAGCATAATATTTGTATGAATGACGACATCACACAGAAAGATAAATCAAACAAATATTAGTAACAAAAGCTGCTCTTTCTAAAGCTGATGCTTAGACGTCACACTGAGAACTTCAGAGTGTTTCTGGCGAGGCCAACGCTGCAGAAGGATTGTTGACAGGAAAGTTCTAGTTTGATGCTTAATCTTCTCTAAATATGTTGACACAGTTTTACAGTCATAACACAGCGGTGTCAGGGGAAGGGATTACGTGTTCCCAGGTTCAGGATCAGGCCTTTTGAAGACACAAACACTGACAGCATTAAAAGCTCTTCGGTTATATTATGTAAAGGTGTCTCGTGCCACCAACACAGCTGTGAACACCAGGGCACATGGGACACCACTCACAGAAAACATCAAACTGTTCTTATTTTAAATGTTTTTCTGTGATATTTAATTAGTTATGTTTAGTATATTCTCTGTTACTTTGCAGTGTATGTTTTATTTTCCCTGCAATGATAAAAATCCTGGTTGCTGTGGCCCCGTGTGTCTTCCTCTGTGGTCGTTTTCATGTTTAGCTTTTCCAGTCATTGCTGGTTGATGCACTAAAGCTAATGTCAGTGTTACCACAGACATTAGCTTTACAACAAGAGACGCTTAAGTTGCAATTAATCAGCTCTGTGTGAACACATTTAGCTAAAATGTAACAAACATTTACATTATAGTTCTGAAATACAGCATATTTCCTGCAGTCAGCAGCAAATCCTCTGTTTGTTTTCACGTCTTTGGCAGTTCGTGGTTTTACATTCTGCAGACTCAACTCTATCAAGTGTTAAGACATTATTGACCCCAAATCATATCAGACGTTTTAGCCTGACATTGGTCTCAATAAGGGAAATAGTGGATGTATCCAACATCTATAAAATGCACTGTAGGTTTGACTAAAGAAAGAAAAGGGATGGATGCATCTCATCTCCATCATTGTGGCAAAGTCAAAGAAACACGCAGCTCATAGTTATGACAGGAAGGTCAAAACTCTCCAGTCTGAGATGTTTAATATCTTCACTTCAGTGACAGGTTAGTGAGTCGGTGAAATATGTGTCGTCCGATTCAACAGACGGACAGACAGTGGCTCAACTTTAGTTTTCATAAGATTTATTTTCATTTTTAATTGAAAAACAAACAAACAAACAAACAAAAATCTCACAACTATGGCACACAGCAAACATCTACAACTAACCACAACATGGCAGGCCATTGTGACCACAGGAGCACTCCTAGGTGCACACGCTTGTATCCATGGAAACATCAGACACCCGAAAACCAAACACAAAAAGTAATAACATAATGAAAACAATAATATAACATTTGTAATTACAGAAAGAATTAGAACAAAAAACAAAAAGCACAGAACACGTCATACGAACCCCCCCCACCCCCCCTCTACCCCTGTATGGCCTCATCACATTCGTGTATGCAGACAGCCCATATTTACACCTGTCTATAGAAGCCCCCATGCACAGGAATCAACACCCCCACGATAAAACCGCAGCATTCAGGAAGTCGAGTCAGGAGGGCCCAACCGGGGGTCAACTCAAAGCAGACCCAGGGGGGGGCTCGTGTCTCCTCTATGATCTGTTAGGTCCAGAGACGGTAGTACTGACAGGGAGGAGCCCCAGATGTTTTCAAAGGCTGCATGTTTCCCTTTACGACGATGTCTTCTCAGGAGTGCAGTAGCTCATCAATCCAGTGTCTCAGTGTTGGGGAATTTTCAGCTTCCCAATGTAGCAGAATACGTATTTTCACTGCTGTACCTGCAAGTAAAATAAAATATTTCTTATGATAATTCGCGTTGATAGAGCCTGTGTCACCAAGAATCCATAGTTTTGGGTCCAGTTCGATTCGGATCCCCATTGAGATTGTTTCAATGGTCTCCAGAACTCTTCTATCACTGGGCAGCATGTGCAGGAGATCACCATCTGTCACCTTACATCTCAAGCATCTGGGGGGGAATTACTATGTAGCCTGTAAGGGGGGTAATATATCCTATGAAGTATGTTAAATTGCATTTGCCTGTTTTGTAGAAATTAACAGTCTGTGCCTGTCATTCTACCTCTTCATAGACATGGCCCAGGTCCCGTTTTCTTTTTATGGACGCTTTGTTGT